TGTTTTTAACCTGGTGATGCTGGTTGCCACCAAGGTCCTTTAGCCATTTAGCACCCAAAATGAAAGAAGGGCCAAAGTGCACACCCCCCCCTCTCCTAAAGTCACACTAAACTCAAGAGTTAAATCCTAAAAATGCATTCAAGAACCTTAACTATTAACAACAATGTATCTTATTTGTGTATCACTCGGCTGTAGATCCTCCAATCATCTCTGAATTGGTGCTGACACTGTCCTTCCTTCTGGAGGGGGGCTACTTTTGTTCCCCATGGTCCTTGTGTGTGTTGTAAAGTAGTCACCGCTCCAAGCTTGCCCCTGTGATGGACTACAATCTCATGTTTAGTTTGTTAGTTTGTATTGAGATTGTAGTCCATTTTGGGAGCGAGCTTGGAGTGGTGACTACTTTACAACACACACAGTGACCATAGGGGAACAAAAGTAGCCCCCCTCCAGAAGGAAGGACAGTGTCAGCACCAATTCAGAGATGATTGGAGGATCTACAGCCGAGTGATACACAAATAAGATACATAGTTGTTATTAGTTAATGTACTTGATTGTATTGTTAAGATTTAACTTCTGAATTTAGTGTCACTCTACGTTGTAAACTACTTTAGCAGCGTAGGTTGCAAGTCCTGCCCTTTTCCTGCCTGTCTCCTGCCCCTTGACCTTGCCTTCGTGGCCACCCAAGCTTGACTGCAAACACATCTACCTTCATTCATCTCCTTTACACGGGGGATGAAAAGATAATACATTCTTGTTGGGTTTATGTGGTTTTATTGCATGCTCTGACCTTATAAAACATTACAGCCATTACCTTTAGCAATCAGAGTCTTCAATTAAAAGATAAAACCTGTACCCTAATTAAGACTAAGGCCCTCATTGAAGGTAAATGCATCAAAGGAGTAGGAGAGAGTCAGACAATAAGCGATGTGCTATATTCTGGCTTTGAACATTTGCATTCTCTTATAATAAAGCTTGTTGGATATTAAGAAAAAGCAGCAGAAGAGCATGTGTGTATCATGAAACCTGTCCTGCTAATAAGGGCAACAGTTTACCGTTTCCTCCAGGTTATTTCTCTCTAATCTCCGGTACTTTGGAGTTAACCATTTATTCTAATTAAAACCAGATAATGCAAACTCTGGCACGTCTTTAATTCTAACTTTTCACCAACTCTGCATTGCTCTACTCAGACCACTTAAAACAAACAAAAAAATTGGCAATGTCCCAGATTACATACGTGAATCAACTTAGTGACCCCTGGGTCCATTTTAATTAATAATGTACTTCCCTTTACATCTTTTGCTTGTGTCTACGTAAGTGTAGCATAATTAATCAGCATGACAAATAAGTCACTGGGGACTTGTACAAAATAATAGTGCAGTAAGCTGTTCTTACAGGGGACCTCTGCGTTCCGATGCCGCGGCTTGTCTTCACCTTCTTGAGAAGTTCAATGCCCCAAAAGTTGGGTTGGAGATTAGCAGAGGCTCCTGTGTGCGGAGGACGTGCTGGAGAACGATTTCTTTATAAAGGTAAATGTTTATTGGTCTTAGGATTCACCTCTTGACCGGTAAACATCAACTTTTGGGAACAAATAGCTCTCAAGCAGGTCCCTTGTATACGGGTGCCTGCCTCTTCTGACCTCAACTTTAGGGGCATCTTGTACCAGAATCCATATGCAGCACAGAATAGGATCCTCCTGCACACCCTGCAGAAGATGGAAAGCGACCATTTCCTCCACAAGCTCCTCACCTAGGTTGCTTGATACCCACATGCAACCTCATGGATGTAAGTACACAATCCCAAATCCTTTCAATTCCTTTTTTTAAGTCAGCCAACCCCTGACTTCTTATGAGTCTTGGATACTTCAGCAGTGAGATCTTTATGCCAAATTACCAATGCTAGTCCTGTTTTCCTGGCTGTTTCTGAGTGTTCTCACCCACCGTTGTGCTCCAGGTTCTCCTGTTACATTCTCCATGATATCAAATAAATACAAATCCAGCACAGGGATGGTAGAAACCACTCAAAATGGGCACAGCAGGTGCACAGGGACCTAAGCACAAGGATGTTGGGAGTCCCTCATAATAGACACCGGTGATGGTGGGCACCCCTAATAATGGGCACAGCAGATATGCAGACCCAGGAACTCAGCACCGTGATAATGTGAACCCCTCATAATGTAAACAGTAGATGTGCAGACCTGGGAACTCAGAACAGGGATGGTGGGAGCCACCCCTTATAATAGGCACCAGTGATGGTGGACACCCCTAATAATGGACGCAGCAGGTGTGCAGACTTGAGAACTCAGCACAGGGATGGTGGGGACCCCTCATAATGGGCACAGCTGGTGTACAGACCCGGGAACTCAGCACAGGGATAATGTGAACCCCTCATAATGGACACAGTAGATGTGCAGACCTGGGAACTCAGAACAGGGATGGTGGAAGTCCCTCACAATGGGCATAGCAGGTGTACAGAACAAGGAACTCAGGACAGGGATGGTGAAAACTCCTTATAATGGTCACATCCTGATGCCTGATCACCTGAGAACTCAGTACAAAGATGTTGGGAACCCCCTTATAACAGTGATCTCTTCATCATCCACTATACACCATAATACTGGTTCGGGTTGGCCTGACCCGTTCATCATTACATTGTCTTTCTGTGGTGAGCCCCTTGATCTATATACAGCACACAACCAAAAGTATTCAGACACCACCTCTTATGATTGGTGAATGGGCTACATAGACCACACCCTTTGTATAGGTAAGGTGTGCAATTGAATGTGATAAAAGAATGCCCGGGGTCAGCTTTTGTAAAATCTTTATGTCAACATGATCAGCAGATTCACAGAAATATTCGGCCGATATGATTTGTCATTATGTTTTGTTTTTTTTTCACTGTAAAAGTCAAGTTTGTTCCCAACTTATATCTGAGCTCCGGGCAGAAATAAAAGACACCCATGGATACAGCTCTGTATACACTAATACATGTAAGCAGTGTAGGTACCTGAACTTGACCTGCCATTGGACTCTGGCTATTTCTGAACAACTGAGCTCAGAGAGGGGGAGGGAGAAGTGCCACTAGCGGGTTCATTTAGGGTAGTGTATAACTTAGGGGTCAGTGGGCTAGGGCTAGGTGTTCGGGTCATATCTCCCAACTTTGTGATATGGGAAAGAGGGACAACTTTTCAGAACAAAGCATGAAGACAAAGAATACACCTCCGCAATAGGCAAAAACCGATTGCTTGAACCCACAAGTGATTTTTCCACCAGGAGCAAAGAAGGTTTTTAAAAAAAAGGACAGTTCCTCCAAATCAGGGACAGTTTGGAGCTATGGTTAAGTGCACTTGTGCCCAGACTACATGCGTGCTATACCCGGGGCCGGATTTACTCTCTCTGTTGCCCCAAGGCCAGGTTCCTCAATGCGCCCACCTATCCGCCAACCCCCCCCCATCCCCCATGGAGAATGGTAGACCTGCAGGCTGCATATAAATGATCTTGGCGACATCACCGAGATCACTTGTACAAAACAAGCGCTGTACATTTAGCCCTGCTTGCCGAAAGCAGGGCTAAATGTAGAAAACAACTACCCGCCCGGAACTGCATCTCTCGGGCATCGGGAGATAGGAATTCCACACCCCTGCTGCCTCTCTACTCCCTTCTGCCCAGAGGCCGGGCCTTGGTTGGCTTTCTGGGAAATCCGGCCCTGGCTATACACTTGTGTGTGCCCTCTCTTCACTCCAGTGTGTCTGCATCCCTTATCTGCCCTGCTCTTGCTCTGAGTCACCTGTGCTGTATTCCCTGTGTACCTGTTTCCCGCATTGTTCTTGCAAGTTTCTTCCCTGTATCCTGCACTGTACCTTCCTTGTGTCTATTGCTGTGCCTTCCTTGTGGTCATCTTGTGTGTTCTCCTCCACTCCTTGGGAGTATTTTTCTGTCTTCCTTGGGCCCTCCCTGTGTGCATGACTTATAATGTTAAAGTATTTACATGTTCTGAACAATGCAGCAAAAGCTTTTTTAAAACAATCCCTCGATGACCTCTGTAGCTGCAGGCATTGTGGAGAAATTTGTCAACTTAAGTTGTCCAATTCCTTCTCCCAGCAGCGAGGTCAGGTGCCCCAAAATGGCGGACCGAGTGGTGGTTCTGTCTGGACTGTGATCGCTGATGCGTGCTCGGTTATGGCTGGCTGACGATGAACATGCTGGTCTCCGAGACCAATGCATCCACTGCCAGCCAAAGCTCCCCTCCTTTTCAGTCATTGGTTGTCAGGACCGATAGCATCCTAACAACCAATGACATCAGGTGTCCACCTCCTCTCCGGTCATTGGTTGCTAGGCCCACCAGCGGTCCTAGTAACCAGTAATGCGTTCCTCTCCTCCAGCATGACAGAAGAGAATCTTCTCCTGCAATCTGCTCTACTTTCGGGTTCCCACCCTCCACAACAGGGTTTGGCCCTCCACTCATGTGGCCCCTTTGTGTAGGCAAGTGAGCAAAAAGAAAAAATATCACATTTTCAAGTTATTAAAAATAAGTTGCTGGAGAATTGGAAAGACTTTTCAGGAGTAGAGAGGTCCAACGTGAATCTACCAGCAGCTGCTGATTAAAGAAATCCTCACCAAGTCTTGAGCCTAAGGTCCATCCAACCTGAGGACAATCAGCTACAATGAAGCATGGCTGGTGTGGGAGGAGTTATATAGCCCCCTAGGGGCAGGGCTACCGTTGTTATAAGTCCACCATACCTAAAGGTGGCGCTATAGCCCATGGTAATATTCTGTTGCCGTGTCCCTCAATGGACAACCGTGTGAACATTTGTGTTGGCAAGATATAAAGCGAGCGATCAAATATATTCCACGTTCATGTTATCAGCATTATGATGTTCCAGTTCCTCTACCATTGTGAGGGTCAGAGAGCCGACTGTCTTTTTTTTATCGCACGCATTATTTATCTGGCCCTGGCGCAGGTTATTCATAGACTATTTACAGTAACGCACATCAAAGAAATGCCTAGCGATGTTCTTCCAGATAGAACAGAAGGGGAGGTACATCTGAGGTTATGATGTGGTAGACTGTGCACAGGAAGAAGTACTCTGTAGACTTCGCTGCGAAAAAGACTAGAGGGGGAAAAAAAATATCAAGCTTCATAAAAGAAACCACGACTCAATAATAATAAAAAAACATTACATAAAAAGATTTTTTTTTTTTTTTTAGAGCTGGAGTCAACGTTTTTGGACTTCATACGCAAAAAAATTACCAAAAATTAGATTAACATTTTTTTCAAAAAGAAGAAAACAATTTTTTATGGAATATTGGGTAATTTATTTTGAGCAGGAAGTCCAAAAACGTTGGACTTCCAGCTCCAAACAAAAAGATAACAGTTTCTATGTAATATTGGGTAATTTTTTTTTGAGCAGGACGTCCCAAAAAGTTGGACATCCAGCTCAAAAAAAAGAAAAAAAATTATTTATTTAATGTAGTATTTGGTCATTTTTTTGAGCAGGAAGTCCAAATACATTGGACTCCAGCACTATTTGACAAGAAGTAAGTTTAGAACATCTGCCAGGTTTCTGTTCCTGTCTGGGCCCCCATTTGGGAAATGTGCTCTCCATTTCCTGTCCTGGTAAGGAGCAGGAAGTGAAGTAAAATCATTCCACAGTGGCAATAAAACTCATTAGGTGAAGTGGGAAGGGTTAGATCAACTGTCAGTGTTATGGTGGTGTGCGGGGCCGCCTCCATAATGAGGCTTTAGACTCAGGTGGCATCTCTTAGGGGCACGTGCTGGGGCGGCAGGCAGGGCAGCTTGGCCACTCTGCTGCACAATGTTTGCAGTGTTGCCCCCTTTTCGGGCCAGAGCATCCCAGGTTGCTAAGAGCCAAGCGAGGAGGTGAGTAAGGTCCATACACATCTTCCCTCCCAGCTCACTGGGATGCTCTGGCCTGCATCCCGCCCAGCTCCTGGCAACCAGTGATGTCACTGGTTGCCAGGAGCTGGGCGGGACGTCGGCCAGGGCGTCATTATTCCTCCTCCATGCCTGATCGGCAGCGTCACTCTCCACCACTACCCCTGGGCTCTGATGCTCACGCTTCTTCTCCTTTAACTGTCTCATCACAGGCTGGGGATCGGTCCAGGACAAACTGGGCTCAGAGGAAGTGGGATGAATAATGCTGGCCATCAGACACTGAGGACATCTAGCAGTAGATGGAGTTCTGCTTTAATGATGGCGGTCATATCACCTATTAAAGTATAGAGCTTCTAAAACTGTGTATTTTTTTTGTTTTGTTTTTTGGTGTCTGGGACTCTATTTTTGGGATTTTCCATCTCTTTCCTTTTTTGGACAGGAAGTGAGGGACAATCTGCAACTGGAATACAAACATAAAAAAAAGATGGCGGCTCTCATCTTCCTCTATTTTACTAAAGACAATATTGGGGGCGGAATTTATCAAAACTGGAGCAAATCGAATCAAGAGCAGTTGCCCATAGCAACCAATCAGCATCTCTCTACAGTTTGCTCAGGTAAGATTTGAAAATGAGAGAGAGATGCCGATTGGCTGCAGTGCAAATCTGCTCCCGATTTTGTCTGCTCAAGTTTTGATAAATGACCCCCCCCCCAATCTGTTTTTCCTTGATGTAGTTGGAGGTTTATCCTTCCCCCTGTATGGGGAAAACTTTGTTTTGAAATTTCGACGAATTATTTTCATTATTCCCCAAAACTGAAAGACAGCTTTTTGTCCGTACATAAACTTTAACCTTTTTTTGTTTTTGTTTGTTTGTTTGTGTGCAAAGTTCCCTCTTGTGACAGTTCTTCCCGGAAGCATGAACATTTTGAAATTAAAAACTTTTTTTATTTTTTCACCTTTTTTTCACTTTCCGTCAGTGAATTTTTTATAACATTTGTCAACATTATCTTTTTAAGACTATTTTACAAACAGAATATTATGTAAACTTTTTTTTTTTTTACTGAGCACACCCGGCCCGGCGATAATCAGGAGTAAACATGTCACATCTGCAAAATAAATCGGATCTGCTTTTGAAAAAGAATAAAAGGATTGGAGGACGAAAAAAAGAAATAAATAAAAGAGAATATTTTGTATGAGCCGTGCGCAGGGCCGGTGCTAGACTATTTTGCGCCCTAGGCAAGACCAGCTACTTGCACCCCCCCAACCCCGCCCATGCACGGCCACATTCTGCTGCCCGCTAGCTTCCGCAGGCGATAGATGGATGTAAGCAGCCGGGGCAATAGCCAGACTGCTATTGGCTATTCTCATTTGAAATAGCCAATAGCAGACTGGCTATTCAAATACCAGCAACTGAGCAGAGGAGCGGACCTGAGAGAGAAGGTTGTCTCTTAGTATTGCTCCTCTGCTCAGTGGGCGGGTGCAAAAGCCAGCCTTCTATTGGCTTTTGCAGTTTGAAATAGGTAGGGGGGGGCACCGTGCGTTTGAATGGTCAAGGTTGCGCCCTAGGCAGCAGTGCGCCCTAGGCGGCTGCCTAGTTTGCCTAGTGGCAGCACCGGCCCTGGCCGTACTGCCGTGGAATGTTCATTTAAAAAAAAACTAACAACGACTGATATACAAGAATAACAAAAAAAAATAAAAAGCATAATGTGAAAAAAAGAGTGGATGTTATAAAAAAAAAAACGTGTTTTGCAAAATACAAATCTTATTTTTTTTTTATAAATAGCAATTAAATACTTAAAATATACCCTAAGCTTGAACTCTCTTGAAAAAAAAATTAAAAATAACAAAATAAACAAAAATTCAATAAAAAAAGTCTTAAAAAAAGAAAAATTAAAAAAGAAAAAAATTGAAAAAGATGAACAAATAAAAATACAAATTATGAGTGTTTTTTTTTAATTTTTCCATTTTTACTTGAATGACTTTTTGCCATCACTCCACATAAAAAAAAAAATAAAAAAATGTTTTTTTAAATATCAAATACAGAGTACAGAGAGAGCATGTAACAGCAAAAAAAGGTCTTGTAACGCAAGGGGTGTCCTCGAGAAACTCAGCTATTTGGGGACTGTCACATAACAATAGCCTTTTATTTATAAACAATACGTTTTTTTTGGAAGCTATAAATACAGCAATTTTGTGAACCATTGGTAAGCCATTAAAAACAAACTGTCATTTTTGTTTTTTTCATAATTAAACATTTTCCGTACAGTAGGGGGGGAGGGGGTGCGGGGTTTAGAGTACAATGTCCTTTAGTCTCTTTAAACCCACCGAGTCCTTTTCTCGACATTCTTGCAACAACGGGTTGATTTCATGCATGACGTTTTCACTGTCCGCCCCCCTGGGCTCCGCGTCCAAGGGCCGGGACGGGCCGTTGCTGACGAACGTCTCCATCTCGCGGCCCCCGGCGCAGTGCATGATACTGTACGTCGCCGACGGCTTGGCCGGCGGGGGGCTCTTTAGGTGCAGGGGGGTTTATTTGGCACGCCGTATAATACGCGGTAATTATCATTAGACAAAACGCCAGCGCAGTGCGCGCCTCGTATTTACAGCCGAAATTAAACACCATCATTTGTACGGGGGACGCATATACTGTACAGTCCAAAGCCACTGGCTGGGTTACTGGGTTGTGCATCGCTGGCAGCGATGACACGGGGGGCGAGCCCAGCTACCAATAAGGCGGGTGCCTTTTGAATTATGGGACGAAGGAAAAAAAAGATTTGGTTAATAAAAAACAAATCTGTTTAATACATGTATACAAAAGCAGAAGAAGATATACCCTGTTTCCCCGAAAAATAAGACCTAGTGTGTTTTTATGAGCCAAAAAAAATATAAGACAGTGTCTTATTTTCAGGGAAACACGGTAGCAA